ACAGACACTGCAGCCGCTTCTCCTGCACGACACAAGATAAAACAGTAAAGGCTATTTAAGTCTGAACATCTATTCTTACACTAGCTTTTAAATCAGAGCTCCTTCATGCATGTGATTTTTGGTCTCCAAATTACCTGTAATATTTGAAAATGACTTTGAATGGTTGACTGGACATAGAATTGTTTGTTTGTTTTACTAATAGTATGATATTATTATTGAACAAAATTACAATAAAAGAGGAAAAGATTAAGGTAAAATTGTACATCCCACCCAAAGTTTAATAGATTGTCCAATATGTATCTAATGCAGAACTACATTATTAATAATATTATTATTATTATTATTATTATATAAACACAGGTAAATATCCATGGTAACAGATTGGACATGTAGGCAAAGTGACAGATCATTATCCAGTGTATCCTGTGTATTAGCATACTGTAGTAGATGTCCTGCTCCAGTGCATATGTGCATGTGATGTGACAGAGACATAGAACTGGTTAGATAAATGTGGTCAAAATCTGGTTTAGATAAGATAAAAATGCAGAGACAGAGCTGAAGCAAAAACACAGATTCAAAAATTAAACAACCAGCGTTAGGGCTGCTCCTGCTGCCTAATACATACAGACAAGCAGGGAAGGAAAAACCCCAGAGACCATGACAGGTTCAACAGTCTGTGGTCCTAGCCTTCACCCGACTGTCTAACTTTATCTAGTTTAAACAAGGCTGAGAAAGAGAGAGGGCAACTGAGCCTGCATACCACATGCACAGCTGGATCTTTCTTTCCAAATAGGCAGGGACATCTGGAGAACTGGCTAATTTTTGATAACATCTCTTCTCACTTTGTTTGAGAAAGTGAAAAATCCTATTTATCTTGTTGTTCCAAGTCTGTGCAATTTATCACGTGCCAAGAAATAAAATTTAATGACCAGAACATAGCCATTTAGGCTAGACAAAGAGAAATTTGTGGTGTGTATGATTTATGATTGAACATTCTTGAACTTAAATAAATTGATTAGTATGTGTGACTGTGTTACACTTCATATGGCCCCACCTGACACAAGATGATATGCTGAGAGCAGACCACCAACAAGTTGCATTCAAACTTTCTGCCTATTTTCTCCTTGATGCGGTAATGCATGTCTGTGGAGTCGTCTGAATACAGCTCATAGATGAAGATCTTCTCTGGAAGTTGGATTGCAAGGCGATTTCTGTAGATGGCAATCTTTTTAACCAGTTCCCGACATCTTATTCTCACTAAGGAGAAAGGGGGAAGTGTTATTTTAAAAAAAGTTATAAAATAATTAGCCTTACCATAATTATCATAACTGAAACCAACTACCAACTAAGAAAACCAAAAGATATAATTATAATTATATATTTTCACATAGAATATAAGTAGACATTGTCAAGGTTTCATCTAAAATCATTGGACTACCAGTGAGTAGCAGGGCATGTGCTTCACACTCTGTCTCAACAGGCTCTCATCTGGACGATTGTGCTGTCTGAAATGGAAGACACTGAGCATTTTGACACCTCAACAGTCCCGATTTAGAGTCATTTTGCCTTTTCAGACTAGTCATCGTATACATAAAATACTTTATTCTATCTGTCTGCTCTATGTGCCCCCAAGAGATATACAGTTATTTAACTGACTGAGGAAATAACAGTAGCTAAGCAGGCAAGACACTGCTCTCATTTTGTATTTCTACTATGAAAGTGGTGTGTGCAGGGGGTTTGATAGTGGTCTGAGGGGCCAATGGTGTAAAATGGCAGCATCACTTCCATCAGTTTGCCCCAGGGCAGCTGTGACTAAAATAGTATATCTTACCACCAAGTAAGTATGGAGTGAAGATGGCTAATCTGTAGCGCTTTGAAAGACTTCGACAAGCCTGTAAAGTATGTCATAGTAATTATTATAATTACTATATACTGACCAAAAAAGATTACCTTTTTGTTCTGTGATCAGATGCTGCACAATAACATCAGTCATGTTGTCTCTGTAAGCATAGCGATCTTTGTAAAGGCCATGAACTGTGCTGAATATAAGTTGGTAGCAGGTGATGGTCCCATCCTGGCAGCCCAACACCTAGATAAGAGATAACAATGTAGCAGTACCTCCTATTAACACTTCTAAAAAAAGACCCTAAGAGTGGGAAAGTGTTCCTGTTAGTAATGCATTTACACAGTGAAAGTGTGAGACTTGTTAACACCCATTTGCCCATAAATTTTGTTTAAAGAAGACACTCTTTTACAATAAATTATTCTTGCTTGAATATGCTGTTTCATTAGGAAAAAAAATGCAAATTTAATCTCTGCTTTGAGATGTAGTCATGAGAAACATTTTTCTATCACAGTTACTGAGGATTACATCACTTTAGACATATGTTGAATGTGGACCTACCACAAAGTTGCAGTCAGGTTTGACCCCACATGTCCACACCCATGAGTTCTGCTCTTCAATGGACCCCAATCGAACTCCATCTTTGGTGTAAAGAGATGCCTGTTTGTCAGAGCCACCCATCACTATGTACTCGCCCTTGGAGAAGTAACTCACACAGCAGGGGTCATAGTTGAGGGCTCTGTCTTTTCCAATCTAAACAGGGCAAAAAAAAAAAAAAAAAAAAAGAGACTATAAATGTCTATCCATATCTTTGATGATTATTTTGTAAGGTGTTCTAAATAGGTTTCATTGTTCATTTGCATCACATTACATAAAGTCTGTTAACTATAAGCATCTGGTTTTGCTTGGCAACTTAAAAAACTAGTTGCTGATAGAAAAATGTATTATGAAGTAGGTGATGTTGATGACACAAAAAACCTTAAGCAAACTGGCCAAGTAATGAACAGTACACATTCGTCTGTAATTACTTTAATGCCAAAGGCTATTATGGAGGAGGCAGTGTAGTAAAAGTACCATTAAAACCTAGCGGGATCTCTTCCTTTCATTGTGTGAGTTAGTTACAGACTTTCACTTTGACAGTCAATTGCAGAAGGAAGAATTTACTATATTCAGATAAGGAGTTTTGTTTCACTTTTGTTCATCTTTAAATTAATAAATCTTCTATAAATGCAAAAATTATAATATACATTTTGATAGCTACCTGCTTCCCACTAAGCTGATAGAAGGACAGCTTCTGGCCCCAGTCTGCAACAGCCAAGATGTCATTGTGTTCATCTCTAAGAAGAAGAGAAGAAAAGTATATTAACCAAAGATCACATGTCAGTTATTTGTAGTATCGGTTTTTCTGCTTTGCTTTGATTATTTTGTACCGGATCCACCCAAAACTCATTCTTTACACTGTTCGATACTGCCACCTTCAGTCCAAATTTAAAACAGACGTTCTTATTACTTTTCTGACGCTAACAAACTGACATTTTATATTCTTAAGGAGCAAGATGATAGTATTGCAAATATAATAGGACAAACTTGGAGGGATTCCAGGCGATAGACCAGATGGGAGATGAAGAGCCTCCTGGACGCTCAATCTTGACCTTTTCCTCTCCGTTCTTATTGCGAATGCTTATGACCCCATTCATCATACCAAGAGCAAGGTACTGTCCATCATTTGTCCACCTAAATTGAAATAAATGCAATTCATAAATAGTCACATAATAACATTTTCACGCACATAGCAGCATTACTTACCCACAACATGTAATTTTACTGTTTACTTTGTGTTTGTTCACAGATTTTTGTTCTGGTGACCACAGACCTGAAACAAAAGTTAATATTTAAAAACAAATCATTTTTAGTGTTTAGGTTGACACAAGGAGAAATAACAGATGCTGATTTACCAAAGTCACCAGTGGAGCAGGAAGCCAACTGATGAGTGATAGGATTATATGCAAGGCACTGGATTGAGTCATTATGTCTGTAAATACATATGACATTGTGTTTACAAATATTTATAAATGTCTGCAAATTAAGTGCACAAAGAGTTCAACGTACGTGTATTTTAAAATCCCCTCAAGTTTAGATGTCCAGATAATAATGCTTTTATCTGCTGAACCCGAGGCAAACCTCTTGCCTACAAAAAAAAAATGTCTCTCTTAATTAAGTACAGAGGTTACAAAAATGTGATTAAAAGTCATACCATCTTTGGCATATGCTACACAGTACACTGTATCTTTGTGTCCTTTTAATGGCTGATGAATTGTTCCATCCACTGCATCAAAAACCTGGAAGCAAATCATACAATAATAATACAGTTTCTCTCTTGAAATTAAAGTTTCAAGAGAGAAACTTTGTGTTCAGTCAAAGATAAATTCTTACAAGAACTCGCTTGCCCGCTGCAACAATAAGTTGGGTGCCATCTGGCTTGAAAGCAAGGTCATATATACTGCAAAACATTAAAATCAGTGAACAATGTGTTATGCATAAACAATAAAATAGTTGTAATGGTTGTAATTGTTATCATTATTTAAGATTAAAAGATTTTAAAGAATAATGAACTTTGGAAATTTATATGGATGTATATACTGTATAATAAATTACAAAACATAATAGAGGGATACAGTTCATGAAATCATTAACCCAGTGCTCAGGAGCATCAGTTATCAGGCTCGTAAAGCTAAGCTAATTTTGCCTAAATGCAATTACAGAAAAGTATGACATGCTCTTCAGATATATAAATGCATTTTGGATAATAGATTATGCCTGGAAAACAGAAATCACCACATAGTTGCCATTTTTCAACATTAAACGACAGAAATTGTTCCATGCTAACAATAACAGGCTAACTTTAGTTTACATAGCAACCACGGTTACTAACGCCTCTCATCCAAAGCTGAAGACTCACCACTGATCCCGGACAGATTCCTTCCATGCCAACGCAGCTCTCATTTCCACTTACTCAAATATCAGGAAGGAAAAGATAGCTTAAATAACAAAATTAACAGCCTGAATCAGTTTATATTGTAGTTGATTCTCCGTGTGCTTTTTTTTTCCATGCAAACGCTGGACCCCGATTACATTCACATCGCGCATGCTCAGACATTGTACTTCCTGTTTTGAAGTGACAGTATGGCGCGGTGTTCTTCATGGATTTGGCCAAAGAAATTAGGATAGATTTTTATTGTAACACATTTGTACGCCGTGTTGAAGACTTTCAAGCTTTTCGGTTCCATTATACGATCCAAATATACCCCAACTTTCAGGTTTGTAGCTAGACTACTAATCATATTCAAGTTTTAACTCTAGAATAATAAAGCTTATTTAAGACTATATATATGACGCAACAGACCGTCTATGGATCTACCTTGTAACCATTCCACAATCTATCACCAAGAAACTACAGTGCCAAGAAAGTTAGAGAATTAAATACATTTATCTAACCATGTCCAGCGTCAGTAACATGAAGATATGAATGAACAAGACATGGATTGCTTGCCCTGTGTATCACTGCCTCCTGGATGGAAAAGAGAGGTCAGACAGAGGAAAACTGGCAAAACTGCTGGAAAGATGGATGTGTATATTATAAGGTGACACTGCCTTCCTGTTATTTTTTTCTGTTATTTTCTAATTTTAATTCTTCTCTAATAATAATTGCTTTGTTCATTTTAGTCCCCATGGACAGAGGTTTCGGTCCAGGACATCTTTACAAGCTTTTCTGCAGAAAAATGGAGAGGGAAACTATAACATGAGCATGTTTGATTTTTCTTGTACTAACACAAGTATCAAAAAATCGTTTTGTACCAAAACAAAAGCAAAAAGTAAAAGGAAAGACACTGAAGATTGTAAAAAGAAAAGCACAGCAATGCCAGATGAAGCTTTCACAGTGGACTCAAGTGAACTACTCCCTACTGATTGCAAAAATCAAATAAGCCAGCAAGATGACATCATTATTAGCTCAGATATGCCAACTGAATGTACTACAAAGGAAAATACAAGTCCCATACAAGCTGGCCTTGCAACTTTTGAGGATGAAGAAAAACTGCTGAAGAGTCCAATAAGAAGTGGTTTACTGAAAGAAAAGCTGTTCACGGTGACAGGTTTAAAAGACAAAGACACAGCGTGCTTGCATCCCCTATTCCCCTCTCTGTGTGTGGAACCTGCAAGTGAGAGTGAGAATGAACAAGATGTGGCTCTGATTCACAGCAAAGCCGACGAGAAACCTATTTCAGAGCTGGGGATAGTGCACAGCAGTAGTGATGAGACGGAGGAGCAGGTGTTATCACCTAACATCTCAGTTGGGAGTAGCACGCCAGTGAGAGATTCTCAAAATAGTAAGCATGCCTGTTAAGTACTGTCAGACAGATTCACTGTGTAATTGGTAATAGTGGTTCAATTTTGACTTTTTGTAATTATGCAGGATCAAGGAAGTTAGAAGACAACAGGAAAACCAGCCCGTATTTCAGCAGTACAAACCTTAGAGATTGTAATACTAAATTACATACCATACATTTTCAAATGTTGTGCATGGACTAGTAATTGTCAATCTATATTTGTTTACAGGTCCAAGCCCACCAAGAAGGAAAGTTTTCAAGAAATGGACACCTCCTCGATCTCCATTTAACCTTGTCCAAGAAACCCTTTTTCATGATCCGTGGAAGCTCCTGGTGGCTACTATTTTTCTGAACAAGACAAGTGGTGAGTTGCTCTCTTACACATAAGGTTGATCTAAAGAAAAAGCTTGATAATTGGTACAGTTTTTACATTTGCTGAAAATTACACTCAAATTATTGCAAATTTATTTTCAATAAAATACTGTGTGTCTTTTTCAATGACCCAGGCAAGATGGCTATACCAGTACTATGGCAGTTTTTTGAGCATTATCCCACAGCTGAGCTTGCACGAGAAGCTGACTGGAAACCCATGTCTGAAATTCTTAAACCACTAGGCCTTTATCAACTCAGAGCCAAAATAATAATTCGTTTTTCAGGTAATTTTTCTGAGCTGATGAATGAATAATACAATTGCAACTGAGACTGGCCTAGTTGACTAAAATCCAAATTTTATTTTGTATAGATGAATATCTCACCAAGCAATGGCGCTACCCTATTGAGTTGCATGGTATTGGAAAGTATGGCAATGACTCATACCGAATCTTCTGTGTGGAGGAGTGGAAAGACGTAAGTAATACTTTATTATAATGAAGTGCTCATTATTATTTTTAATAATATAATGTGTTTTGTACTTATCCTAGGTGACACCCAAAGATCACATGTTAAATAAATATCATGCCTGGCTGTGGGAGAACTATAAAGCACTCTGATCATGACTTACTGTTGAACAAATGCATTAAAGAGTTCATGTTTAAGGTTAGAAGAAAAGGTTATTTTGCTTTTAGCTTGTCCAGTTAAATATCTATGTAAGTTTTAAATTATGTAATGTTCACTGTTTTTTAGGACTGCTAATAAAAAAACAACTTTCTTTTTTGAGTTTTCTTTCTGTCCCTTTAAATGTACTTGGCATTTAGAGACATCCTTTGGCAATATCATGTTCCATTGTCAGAGGCTAATAAAGTCTTTTGGAGGGCAACGATGCGTGAGTGCCTGTTGTCTCTCTTGTAGTTGGAGGTAACCTGATTCCCAAGGCGACAGTTGCCATTGCAAAACTCTCATTCAGTGCTCTGCCTTGTCATAGTTTAATCTTTAACCAGCATTAGTACAGATGTATTTAATGGCCTCTTGATTTTTGTCATTATTATTTGTTTAACTAATAACTTATTAACCTGGAATCTGAGGAGCAAAGAAAGTTGAAGATTTTTTTTTTGATGAAGACCAAAATTTTATGCATGAGCAGGACGGATCTCACCTGCAAAATGAAACTTCGTAAGATGAAACACATTTTGCCTCATTTTAATTTATGAATTTATTAAGATATTTTGTCAGTTATATTGTTATTTGAACTGACTGGCAACTCTAATATAAAAACTATAAACCTGTATTTAAATTTTTTCCAGTATTATAGATTTAAAGTATGATGAAAATCAATTTTAAACTACAAAAAAAAGTAATAATAATGTATGATTAATTTTGTAACTAATCACAGCAACCATAGCCTCCACACCAGTTAGTCTTCCTTCACCCTCATCTCCAGCCAGACAGTCTCACCTGACAGGCACCTCAGTGACATTTCCCCTGATAACTGAATGTGCCATATGGTCGAGCAAACGAGTAAGAGGTTTTTTGTTTCTTTAACAAATGTAATCTGGATGACAAGGTTATTTTTGTGCAGAAAAGTATATATTTTTATTATTATTATTATTTTAGCCTATTCCACGACTGGACCCTTTGCATCCACCTTTTGTCCAAAAACGGACTGTGAGCTTGGAGACACCAGCTGTTCACTACCACAACCACCAGAGGGCTTTGATAATGCAGAGGAAAGAGCATTACAGGTAAAAGCATAAAAAGCAACAAAAACAAATATATCTGCATGTAAATGTATTGTATATTTCACACCCCATATGTCACTAAATCCTTAGCAATGCGACATCTGCTTTTAAAATTATGTGATTATTGATTGACAGGTTTCATCAAGTATGGCGAAAACCCTTTTATGGAACCAGCAGTGAAAGAGAGGAGTACAGGTAGAAGTTGATATAATAGCACTAAAGAAATCATTGTCTTTATTGTTACATTTCAATTTGCGTATCTTTCAGGAAAGATATCCGTAATCACTTAAAAAAGCAGATGGAAGATAAAAGTGTAGCCCTGAAGCTTCAGTTTACAAACAGAGCGAAAGAAGCGGAGTACCTGTGTGAAATGGATCGCATAGATTTGTCCAAAGAAAAAGAGCAAAGGATTATGCACAGAGCGTCTATGACGGCATATAGGGACGAGAACAAGCGGGTACACTTATACATTTTTCTATTAATTAATTACCACATTATCTCCGCAATTTGAGGTATAAAGATTCACTTTGTAACATTTTCAGTGGAGAATACGCCACCTGCTTGTTTTCATGGAAATGTTATTGCTTTGTCTACTCTAGAATGTCCCGTGGTAAAGATTAAACCTAAACCTTAACTCTATCTCAAGGGAGACAACTATAGGCTACATTACAGGTCACATCTGTGGACGTCAGAGAGAGAATTACTGTATTTCTGAGCAATATAAACACCTGTAATGAATAAATGCTAGATAGACATGTTTAATATCCTACCATGGAACATTCCATGCAAAGCAATAACAGCTCCATGGAGACAAGGTGAAGAACCCTCCACCAGAAAAGTTGCTCAATGCACCTTTAAATGTCAAACATAAAAATAGGTAAAAGTATGTGATAAGATTAGTGCATATATTTATTACAACAACCACCCTGTTGCTTTGGTAATGCATAGATTGCATGGCAGCTTTCCAGGATTGTACAGTGTAACATGTATTTGCTCTCCTCTCTATTACTGTGCAGCTAATGGAGCAGGGCTGGAGGGACAGAGCACTAACACGTTCCCAGGAGGCTCTGAAGGAGAGAGAGCTGCTGCGCCTCAACCCTATTAACTGGAGTGGCACACTGAAATAGGCTTCACTTTCAGACTGGAAACATCTGATGTCTTACTAAATGTGAAATTCAGTATTTGGTATGTTTGCCCTTTATTTTTGAGAGATTGTTGGTCATGATATAAAGGTTTGCGGTTGAATTGCAAAAACTGTGACAACAAGCATTTTGCTAATAAATGAAACTAATAAATGAAAATATAAATTCATGAGTTGTTTAATTGTAAAGGAATCAATAATAAATAACAATATATGGCATTCTGTGACAAAAAAGTAAATTAGCATCAAATTGCACATTAAATATTGCATCTAGATTAAATAAAAGGCAACAAAACATGATTCCAGTGTTGAGCTTGGAGCTGGTGTTTTCTGGTTGTACTAAACCTTGTTAACAATTCCTCAGTTTGTCTGTGATAAGTCTTCATCATGCCAGTGCATTTTGTAAAACAAAACATGTATTTTTTTTTTTAAAGTTCAAACAGTAATTCATGCAACTAGACAAAGATTTCTTTTTATAAAGTAACATAAACAGCTAAGGCTCAAAACTAGAGAGATAAAAGATTTCAGTGATGGCTTGAAATGAAAAAGGGAGTCTTGGAAAAGTTGCATCAAAGTCGCAAACTAAAAATTGATAAAAGTTTGGAATCACCGAAAAACATTAAGGTACATCATCAACTACAACAGTGCAGTGCATCTTAATTTTCTTATAAATACATACATACAGTGGCTTGACAGCCTTCAAGTTTCTCTTTACCCAAGAATTTCCATTTATAAATACAATCCAAGCCCTTTTGAGTGAACCCTAAATGAATCCCTGCATAATAAAAAAAGCATTGCAGAGATAACGCCATGCCAAGATGCTGTCTTTTTCGCATTCATCAGCAGTATTTGTTTGAGTCTTTATCTTTCATATTCAGACAGTCTACCGTCCCTTTAAGAATCCATCCAGCATATAGTCTCCCTTTTCTGTAAGCCAGTATCCAGCCATAGCAGCAACTCCTCCAATGAATATGGCAGTGAAAACCATGTCTCCTTTGGCAGCCAGAGTAGCCAGTGCACATATGACTACTCCAAAGAACATCTGCTGCAGCACCTGCACCTCATCATCAGTCATGTCATCAAAGAGACCCTTGTCTGGATCGGCTGAGGAATAAAGAAAATTATAAAGTTTACAAAATACGTTTCAGGTGATATACAGCTCAGGAAAAAAATAACGTAACCCTCTCTGGGCAGCTGTCTGTTAAATTCCCTTACACATGTCAATGAGGAAAAATTTCAGCATTAATATATGTTTTTAAATGTTAGGCCACTGTATACTTTCTGCTAAAATAGAAAAAAAACAGCACTTACTTGTGGGCTTGTTCTCAACACAAATGCTGTCTCTTCTAATGAAGCCATCAGCACATTCACAGTGGAAGGATCCCTCTTCATTAATACAGGCCTCGTTTAGCCCGGGGCATGCTATGGCACGCTCACTACATTCATCTATATCTACAACAGCAATAAATTCCCAACAAGTCATGACTAGCTAAAAAAGATCTGACACTGTATTGACACTGGGCATGACACTTACCGAGACATTTGGCACCCTTCAGTCTGTAACCACGTGCACATTTTTTACAGCGTGCAGGGCCACTACCCATGCAGCCAACACATGCCTGGTCACAACCTGAATGGAAAACAAAACAACAGATGCTCTATTAATACATTATAAACCAGTGATTAGATTATTACATTTCAAACCACTGCATACATCCTGCACAGTTGTACTAACCTCTGCAATCATATGATCCCTCAGTGTTATGGCAATAGGTGTTAGTGGGGCAACGAGCCAACTCGGTTCCACATTCATCAACATCTAGAAACAAAATAAATATATTAAATACATTTTACTTTTTTTAAATTTAAGAATCTTTTTTATACTCACCTACACACTTATTGTCATGAAGAATCCATCCCGGCTTACAATCAAGACATTTATAATCCTGAGGTCCAGAGCATTTCTTACATGAGTGAAAACAAGCTAACACAAAACAAAAACAAAAAGTTACACAAAAAAGAAACACTATATGATGTTTTTTTACAATATAAAACAACCTACCTGCACAGGCTCCTACACTGTTATTTGAACTCTTCTCTCTATAATAACCATCAGCACAGCTCTGGCACAGATGGCCTGAGTATCCAGGGTCACACACACAGTCTCCATCTCCGAGACGAGTTCCCTCCCCCTCACAGCGCCCCAGGCCACCACAGATACCACCAGGGCCAGATGGACACTCTTAGTATTGATTAGACAATATGTTATAATTACAATTTCAATCACTGATAAGTATTAAATATTTTGACATATGCTCACACATTTTAGGTACACCGTACCTTTACAATCAGGTCCAAAGTGGCCTGGTGGACAACACAGTCTTAGCTGTTCTATGCAGAGCCATTCAAACAGATCTGGTGCCTCCTCTTGCCTGTAAAATAGAGACATATATTACACTTACAATACATTTTTTCATTTTTGTCATTCCAAAATTATAACTTGTATCAACTACAAAGTTGATAAATGGTATGCAGTGATACTATTTTATTTGTGTAATCACCTGTGAAACCACCAAGTCTCGACCTGGTCTTCTATCTGCTCCAGCAGCTTATTACATTCAAAATCTGTCTTCTCACACGCAGCTTCTACAATCTCCAGCAATCGTGTCTCACTGTAACATTTTGATGCAGGTCATATTAAATAACACCAAGAGTAAAGATCATTGACAGGGTTATTAAGATTTTACCTGCGTGCATATTTGGCCAGTTTCTCCTCCTCCCAAGCAGTATTGCCACCACCAAAATTTTTATTGGCTGTCCTCTCCAAGCCCTGACAAAAAGCAAATGATGAGTTAGTAAAAGATAAATTAAAAGAAATAAAATAACCAGACAATAATGCATTTGTCATACCTGAATAAAGCTGTCAGTGAGTTTTCGACAGGTCTGGCATGGTGCTGTCTGGACCATGACAGTAGAGAGCTCAGAGAGCAGCACTAGTGCAGGCAGGAAACACCAGTCCCACCACATGATGCTTTCACTAACAAAACAAACGATCTTTACAAATGTTTTATTGTTTGAATAATTACAGATTGGTAATAATAAAATAATCTATCATTTTGTTTCACACGGTGGTCTAAATAAGAACTTCTTCAGACTTCAGGACGCTATTTCCTGTTAGCTCCCTCAGCATCAGCACCATAAACATTAGCTAACAAGCTCAAGCTAGCCTCCTCGATGCTGACCAGTCTCTGCGTTTCTATTCTAAACATAAATTAAATTAAATCATCTCATATTGGTCGTTAACCTGCTGAATTAGGTCATACACGAAATACAAGTGGTTTATCATAAGATATTTCTTCGATGTCACAATAACTTAATGCTAACTGCAATAGACAGGCTATGCAAAGTTACCTTATTCTAAAGCCACCACGTCGCTACTCGTCCCACGATTGTTGTCTGCTGGGCACAGTGATTTTCACGTTTGTCCCATTCCTATTTTAAAACTTTAAACGTGACATTTGAACTATTCGTACAGTTTATAATAAAGCTAGCTTACAATGCTATTGCTCCCAGGGTCCTGAAAAGAATGAATGAACACTGCAGCTGCTTTGGCCAATTCACTTGCAGATGACAGACACCGCCCATCCCCATGCCCCACTGGGATTTGATTTATCCACCAATCAGGGAACAGGATTATTCCACTACTTTATTATCAAACTTGTGTCACGTGGACTCTGTATGAATAACAGAGCTATAACTACACCAAAGCCATTTTATCTTGTACAGTTGTTAAAATATAGGATACCTGCAAAAAATTATTATATTCACATTCAATGGGATATACATGGTTCTTCAGAAAAAAATCAAATAACAACTGACTTCTTGTTTTATTGTTTTATATTGTTAAATATGAGTATTGCTGGGTTTCAGATGACATAACATTCAATAATATTTAATACAGATGGGGGACAGCTAACGCGGATTTTGTAAAAATTTAGATTTTTGTTGTAATACAGTGAGTTCTCGGGTCTAGTCAATGATACAGGTTCAACATTTATGAATTTATATTTGGCTATTTCATGACAAAGTACAATCTAATAAATAGGAGAGATAGTTTCCTGCCCTCCATCTGGGAGTATGATATCATCATATTCGAGAATCTTAAAACAACCAATACTATCTATCTTGTAAACATCTTAAGAAATTTGATTGAAAGCTAGATTCTAAAACATCTTTAATTGCCAAAAAAAAAAAAAAAAATATATATATATATATATATATATATATATATATATATATATATATATATATATATATATATATATTGCTGATAACACAGAATTTCACAGCTCTAATAAAACACACACTATTTCAGACCCAATCCATCTGACAGACCTTGGGGTTAGTGTCTGGACTGGAGGGGGGAGTGATGAGGTAGGGCTGCAGTGGCATTGTCTCTGCAGCATCTTCTTCTTCTCTTGCTCCAACGCAACTCTGGGGCATCGAGGCCAGTCTCAACACCGCTGTCCCGGCTGTAAACCCTGACAACCCTCTTGCCAAAGCCCTAGACGCCATTCTGAGCCCATGTGCCCTCTTTCGTCTGGATGAGGAAGTGGCCATTTGTCTTGCCCCTGCCAGTTCTGTGAGAAACCCCAGACTTTGAGATGGAAGGCTGTAGACATGTAAACCACGGAACAGTTCAGGAAGTGGCTGGCAAACTCCTTCAGGGGGCAGGGATTCAAACTGCACCAACATGAAGCGCTCGCCAGCTCGACCTTGTAAGTAGTCTGCAAGGATGCAGCTCAAAGATGCACTAAATACATCAACGCAATTTGAGTTGGTACTGCTGTCTGTGTCTCTTTGATTTGTTGTAAATCTCTCCCAGGTTTTTGCTCCCCACTCTTCAGCCCTCCTCCTTGCAGCTTGCGTAAGGACTAGAATGACTTTTCCACCGTGTCTCTGCAGTTGATCCAGTCGTGAATGGAGCCAGGGCACCGGACCCAAGACGCTAAGTTCAGCATGGCTCCACAAGTCCAGAGACACATTGCAGCCCAGAGCTTGGAGGGATGACCCCAAGTGGCACATCAGACCGGGTAATGCTTGCTCATCGTCAGGCGGATATAGCAAAACCACATGACCACCGCCTACAGCACCTAAAATAGCCAAAAATACATAAAATTAACCACAATGTTTTTGATAATTTACAGTGAGGACAAGTACACAAACATCCTAAGGAAAAAACTTATGTAATTTTTTGGCCACCTGATTGTCTCCATTTAGATGTTATTGCTTTGCCTGAAATGTTCCATAGTATGGCATTAAACATATATATCTGGCATTTCTTTCATTACAAGTATTTTTTAATAAACATGCATTCATTCTGAAAGCTGGCCAGGTGGTATCGGCTACTTGTATCCTTGGAGATGGATAAACTATAAGATTAATGTAATACCGTGGAAGACTCCAAACAAACAATAGCATTCCCAAGGAGACAAGTAATGAACCTTCCACCTGAAAAGTTACTGTGCACATTTAAGATAAAACACAAAATCATTTAGTACCTTTGACATCATCATCTTTCGACCATCTCCATGGTAATTCTGTGTAAAAGGAAAAAAAAAGTATATATATGTAAAAAGGTGTAAAAGATTATGACCAATATAAAATCTAAAATGATGATTATTTAACACAAATACTATACATCTCTTTCAGTCAAACTAACCTTTGATCACTCCTTGTATGCAGCATGCTCCAAGCATTGACAGAAACACCAATAACAAGGCAACAAGAAGCAAGACAATCCAGTGCCAACGTGATACTGGAAAAGTCATTTGAAAGACCTTATATCAGGATATGAATACAATTTACATCTAAACAAATAAAGCTGTTATATATTTGCTATGTTCATTTGTAATTTTACTCACCTGCAAATGGACAATAAGGATCCAACTGAGTCTGTATTCCATCAAGTTTGATCTAAAATTTAATATTGGCAGTAATGATTAAAATGGGATTGTAAGCAAACAAACACATACAAAAAAATGTAAGTAACATTTTGAACATTTTTTACCTGAAGACAGAGCAGAGGATGCGATGACCAATTGAATACTCCTGTTTTCTAGAATGCAAATTCCAAGCAAATATAATAAAGCATTTCATTTTTTGAGAACAGCTGAAAATCTTGTCAATAAAACTATTTTATTACCCAGCGTTCTCCTTGACTCGTAACCCAACCGGCATGTCCATCCAGTTTCTGTCTAGACCCGGTCACCTCTTGACACTCCCCACTGACGACATCTCTCTTACACAGCCACACATCCGCCTTTAGACTGCAGGGGGCGCTCACATTCCAGAGCAGCATGGAGTTCCCTCCTCTTGCAGACTCCATCAAAGCCAGGGACACACTGTGCTTCATCCTCTCCATGGCATCTGAATCATAAAAGTTACTCAGCATCATATGTATGTGAATCCAGAAGTTTACATCCAAAAGTGTTCAGTTCACAGAGTCAATATTATCAGTCAATATATTCGTTGGGCAAGAAACTTTGTGTTTTTCTTACAAAGTGGGCTTTGTGCACAACAGCGTCAGAGCCTGGCAACCTCACTGTCAGCATCTCTACTTTCTGGTCATAATATCAAGATAATGACGTGAATAGGAAGCTGCAGATCAATGTTACTGATATGTTAAAAAGAAGGCTGCACAAATAATACAAATATGTCAGTGGAAGATATTTCGGTGTCTAGAACATTCATGGTTTAGAAAGAGAGATGTTTGTGTCTCTATACTAACATTAATTTTGAGGCATAATTAACTGAAATATTTTACATATAAAAATAACTGGGTAGTCTTTATTTTAATCAATCTGAATTTTAATAGATTTTATGTTTTACATTGAGCCTATGCACAGAGGCTCTTGGCTATCCAAAATACTTGTCTTAAAGCGCAGTACTGTATTTTCTCATTGACTGTACCTTGTTGATTCTTGAATGGGCAATATTTTCGACGCACCTTGTTGTCTTGCCACCAAACCTGTAACAAATATTTAGCCAAACTAAATTATTTCCATAAATAATCTAATTACTTCACATTATATTCTTACTTGGAAACACAAGCATGGGGCTGCAGAGTTGAATGAGATCACAATTTCTGTTTTGTCTTTACACTAGAATAATTGAATGAAAGATAAATAACATAATCATACAATGATAATTAATTCATTGTATTTATTGGTCTCTCTTAATACCATTGGAAGCATTGCTCCTGGAGTCTCGTCCCACATCATCTGACACATGAGCGTCTTCTCCTTGGCACTGTCCTCCACTTTGAGTCGGATGACCTCTGTTTTCTCATCCATTACAACTTGAAGACTGGGGACTGCAACAAAACACATTCTTGTCTAAAGATTTTCCTTTTGACAGATGCAAGAAAATCCTGTTTGTGATTGGCAACATGTTAGTACAAGTACTCAACTATTGCACTCAACATTAAACTTAAGAGAAAGTTCTACAATGATAAGCAATTAATAAACTACAAAATGATTCTTCTAAAAATAGTATACATCTATATCAGCATTGGCATGTATGCACTAATTTATAATATCTAATTTTCAGTTCCTTGAATTGGTTATTGTTTATTGTATCTTACCATCACAGTCTTTAATATGGCTACTCTCTGGGTTCAAAGAACACACTGCAAGAAACACACAGTTAATATTTAAACAGCAGAATTATTTAGCAAGCAAATGAAAAATTATAAATTCTACCTTTTTCTAAAGATGGAATAGTGATGTTATGTCTGTACTCTTTCATCTGAGCAAGGACACGAACCAGAACTGGAGCACCAAAAGTCACCTTTTCTCTTAACAGTAACTAGAAAGATGAATGGTATAATGTTAACTTTAATCTATAACTGGGTAGTATGGATATTAAGTTTTATTGAATTCAAATAACTTTTGTAACAAGGGGTATAAACAAAGGTCCATGCTCAGACCATAATAGATGGAGGCCAAGATGCAGAACAAAATGCTAACTATTTGAAGGTTATACAATACACAGATGATTTATTCACCTTATGTGTGGAAGTGTGAGCTATATGTGATCTGGGGAAAGTAAATTGTAATGTCTTGCAAAGGTCACCAGAGCCTGGAGAACTGAAGCAAATTTTGACCAGGGCTGCATAAACACAATAATGAGATTTAATATCATTATAATTAACAATGAACGACAATTTTCTCCATCATACCTTCTCGAGACATAAAATATCCACTCGCCTCCACGATCTGTTGTGTGCTGAGAAACAACTCTGTACTATCTCCAGACTGCTCCAAGTCGCCCACTACCTCTGAAGACACACAATGTTCATTAGGTCTGTTTTTGAGGACTGCAGGTTCAACCAAGTCCAAATTAATTTATAATAATAATAAACACCAAAACCTCATCATATCTTCCTATCTGTGTATTGGAAACAATATTGTGTTAAGATTGTTATTGTCTGCAGATGTTGCATACACACTTCTTGACTTATAAAATCTACAGCCCAAAGTTACATGTTTTGATATCAAGGTAACCTGTAAATGATGATACTCTATGTGGTTAAAGGTTTAAAATCATTCTATGCTGAGTTACAACTTAAACCACATTGGGCCTCATTTATCAAGCATTTGCTCATGTGCTAAACAGCTAAACACACTAAAAGTGGAGCAAAAACACAATGCAATTTCTTACAGAGAAGTGCAAAGAAGATGATGCAGCGCATTTTTGCTCCAATAAGTGAATAAGGATGCACAACAGGAGGTGGAGGAAATGCAAATTAAGTTGTTTAGCAGGTGCTGGCAGATTTATTACAACTATGAGAGTTAAAAGTGTGCATAAATTTGTGGGGTTAATATGATTGATTGAGCCTCAGGAGCAGGACCACACCTCAACCTCCCCCTGCTGCTTTCCAGCAAATCACAGCTCAGCTCAACCACACCTTCAATTACCCAGAAGTCCTATTTATACAAGCCTATTCCAACAACACCATCTGTCTTCACTCTCTCGACTCCCTCCCTCCCACCCCATGTGTCTCTTGCTCTTCCTTCAGCCTGAAGACATCATCTACAAAAGGGGGTCCTGAATCGACTGGGCTGACCACCTGAGACAGAGCCCCCATCCAGAGTCTCCTCCCAGCCATCACAATTATCCAAAGTAATAAATATCTTTATTGTATTCCATTATGGTATTTGGTAGTGAAAGTACATTGAAGAGACTGGTATTAACTTTTTGCACAGGATAGGTACTGCAATTTGTGCACCGTGGGGCATTTGATACTGGTTTTAAATGCTTTAAAATGACCCACAAAGACACGATCATAGCATGATGTTTTCAAAGCAGCAGTAATAAAATATTAAACTCTTTACCTGTGACACTTTGGCCCTGACTCCCACAGCAGCTGTCCATCAAACTGGACTTTTACATGTTTTTGTCCCATGTTCTAAAAACTGCCTCATGTCCTAAAGGGAAGACTGCAGGGACCATTCACCACATATTGGGATCCTGCATGAGGTGCAATGTGATATTTGAGAATGGATCTTCAGAGACTCCTGCTGTAAGGTTGATCAGGTGGGCGAACCAGTCACAGAGCAGCATTGAAGTTTGTGCAGAAGCCAAATGCCAAGTGCCCAAATGTTTTCATCAATTCACATTCTGAATGCTCTCATTTACATATCAGTTTTGTGCCAGAAATAATATGTGCACTTCCCTATAGTAATTCACACGGAACTCAACCACAAATTGCACAAGCTATTTTTCACTCAGTGAAAAAGACTCACAGTTTAGTACATGAATTGATAACTGAGGCACATTGTGTATTTAGCAGCATAACAGTTCCAACCATTGTTGTCAAAAACTAGATTGGAAATTTATTTGGAAAGGTGTGTCTCTGATTACTTTAGCACGTAAAGTACCTGTACCAGTGAGAGTGATGGTGAGCTGCAGACAGGCTTCACAGAGCTGTTCCTGTGTGCAGCAGAGAACAGCTCTGAGATCCACCTGCGTGATGTTCACTGGCCCCTCCGGATCAAGCAGCACCCCTTCATAGAGAGAAACTACAAACACAAACAAGGTCACTCCCTGTTTCACTGATGCATATAGTGGAAACAAGAACTTAATTGTATATGCAAAACAAGGATGCAAATATTAAAAAAACTAATATTTGTAGATTTAAAATAGTAAAAAAAAAAAAAAAAACATACCTAAAGTCACTTTACAGTTTAGCAGTCCCTGGAGATAAAAGTTAGAAATCAATTTTGAGAATATTCCTCTGAAGTACAAATATCTGGATCAACAAAAGTATATTTACACCTAAGGATTAGTAAGAGAACACCTAGTAAATATCAAGTAAGACAAAAACAATAAAACTGTAAGAGAAGCAGACAAGGCCTGGTTTGAGCATAATAATGTATGTGTGAAGAATTGGGCTGATCTTGTCCTATTCCTGGTTTAGTACAAGTTTAGTCCAAATTTTGATGTGGTGTGTGCGGATATGTATGCACCCAACGAGCAAGCCGAATGGTCCATGATGCATAACAAACACCAGGAAATGCCCCCTTTTGCCGAATCCTCAATTTGAATCCTTATAACTCCAAAATACAAATAAGCCAACTAGGCAAAATTTCTCACAAATCTATTTTTGAGGCTGACCCACAGACTTGGAAACTGAGCGCTGGAGTAAGATGTCACGCGGAACCACTGTAGTAAATAATTAATGATCATTAAACTCTGAAGGGCGTTAGGCGATCTTATATTATTTCACAACCCCTGAGTTTTACGCACATTTGCTACATATGTTTGCAAGTCACCAAAAGCAAAAGATAAATTTGAAAACTCTTCTTGCATGTGACGTAGCTTAAGATACAAACTGTGTTTCAAAACAAACAAAACAATTCTAAACCTGTTTGTTGTCCTACCTCGCTGCAGTTGAGTTCAGGTGAATAAACGTCGACCATATCCAGCGTTTTAGAACAAGGACTCCTCCAGCACAGATGCAGCAGTAACATCAAAACAAAAAACATGCGTTTTCCTGAAAATCTTGTGGTTTTGTGCGCCATATCTGCCCGTGCCAATCTTGCGCCTGGCACTGATATCCAATTACTCTCTAGTTTTAGGCTCCACAGATCAAATTGAGCCAAATCCAATAATCTATCCATCTAATACACGAGCGTGGCATGGCACCCGCGTGTGATGAAAAACTCTCGCAGCTAGAATTATCTCACATACTTGAGATGGCACAACAGGTTGGTAGGAGTGCCCGCCCACAACGCAACCGTGAAACAACTCATTCACTGGCTGTTTGCGTTGTTAGCCACTCAAACTATGTTTTCAACTCCTGAAGTAAGTTTCATGTCATATTCTGGTTGTCTGGGTAAACCGCAAACAGCCAGAATATGAGTCATCAGGAGCGGAGCTGTGAGCAAAACAGCACTTTGTCCTGAAGCCAGAGACCACTCCAGGTACCGACCGCTCAAGAGCTCAAACTACCCCTCAGAGAGCTCTCCAACAGCGTAATGAAGTTGGCTCAACGTTTGACGTTCGCTTGATATTCGGGGTTTAACTTTCCCACAGTAAGACCCAAACATGCATTTTGCCTAAATAACTTGAACTAGGTTAAACAAACTGCAACCTGATAATGTCTTACATAACAAAACAACAGCATAAATAGTACCTGTCGATTATAGGCAAAAAATCTACTCAAGCTGCTCCAACCTTCGTTCTGTGGTTACCGTCTATGTTAGGGACCGTCAACAAATCGTCACCACATTGTTGGAGGGAGTCACTTTGACATTAGTGGAGCCGGTGTACACAATAACTACTTGAACAAAAAATTCACCAAAAATCAACAAAAACACTTTTTCTAAATCTGTGGGGTGTAGTAGTTCCCAAATAAATGTGTCTATTTACTACAGGTCACAATTGGCCCCTAGGTCACATTACTGTGAAGAGAGACACAAAAAATACTTGAAAAAATTCACCAAAAATCAACCAAAATACTTTTTCCAAATCTGTGTGGTGTAGTAGTTCCCAAATAAATGTGTTTATTTACTACAGGTTACAATTGAACCCGAGGTCACATTACTGTGAAGCGGGACACAATAATTACACTAAAAAATTCACCAAAAATTAACCTAAACACTTTTTCCAAATCTCTGGGGTGTAGTAGATCCCCAATAAATGTGTCTACTTACTCCAGGTCACAATTGCCCCTAGGTCGCATTACTGTGAAAAAAGACACAAAAAATACTTGAAAAAATTCACCAAAAATGAACCAAAACACTTTTTCCAACTCTGTGGGGCGTAGTAGATGCCAAATAAATGTGTTTATTTACTACAGGTCACAACTGGACCCTAGGTCACATTACTGTGAAGAGAGACACAAAAAATACCTGAAAAAATTCACCAAAAATCAACCAAAACAGTTTTTCCAAATCTGTGGGGCGTAGTAGATCCCAAATAAATGTGTTTATTTACTACAGGTAACAAGTTGCCCTGAAATCATGATGACAAAAATTTCCTTCAAAAATTATCTTAAAATCAACAACATGACTATTTTCACTTCTGATGGGTTTAGTAGTTGCCCATCTATATTACAGGTCACATTTTACACCAAAGTCACATAACATCTTTCAATGTTGTCTGCTGCAACCAATGAGACCTGTACCACCAGTCACAAATATTCCCAGATTTGTCACCATTGCATGTATTGTTTCTCTGTACTTTCTTGTCAGATTCTACAATTCAACAATTGTTATGGGATTTTGGTGCTATGGCAATTATCAACCTGTAGACCGTAACAACCTTACCTTTATAGCAGTCAGAGTACATTTTTTTGGTGTTGCATTGGTATTATACCTGATAAAGCAGTACCTGATATATAGTCTTTCACTCATGTTACATAACAAGGAAGAAATATGTGATAACAACAAATGCAAAGAAAATCAACAAAACATTAAGTGTCCTGTTACATTTGAATATTCCCTCCCAAAGATTTGAAGAGGGGAATTCTAGAGGGAGGAGATTTACCAGAGATCATAACAAACACCTGATTAAAACATGTACGTCTAACATTGGCCACAATCAAGTGACCTTTGTAAGATTTAAACATGTTGAAGAATTGGAAAACGTCATGTTATTCTTGTCAAATTTGTGTTGTTGCAATTAGATTGCAATACTCCTCTCGGACCATTCTTTTAGTGTGTCTCTCTTCACAGTAATGCAACATAGGGTCCATTTCTGACCTGTAGTAAGTAAACACATTTATTTGGGAACAACTACGCCCCACAGATTTGTAAAAAGTGTTTTGGTTGATTTTTGGAGAATTTTTTCAAGTAATTATTGTGTCTCTCTTCACAGTAATGTGACCTTGGGTCCAATTGTGACCTGTAGTAAATAAACACATTTATTTGGCATCTACTGCGCCCCACAGATTTGGAAAAAGTGTTTTGGTTGATTTTTGGTGAATTTTTTCATGTAATTATTGTGTCTCTCTTCACAGTAATGTGACCTAGGGTCCATTTCTGACCTGTAGTAAGTAGACACATTTATTTGGGAACTACTACGCCCCACAGATTTGGAAAAAGTGTTTTGGTTGATTTTTGGTGAATTTTTTCAAGTATTTTTTGTGTCTTTCTTCACAGTAATGTGACCTAGGGGCCAATTGTGACCTGTAGTAAATAAACACATGTATTTGGGATCTACTACGCCCCACAGATTTGGAAAAAGTGTTTTGGTTGATTTTTAGTGAATTTTTTCAAGTATTTTTTGTGTCTCTCTTCACAGTAATGTGACCTAGGGGCCAATTGTGACCTGTAGTAAATAGACACATTTATTTGGGAACTACTACGCCCCACAGATTTGGAAAAAGTGTTTTGGTTGATTTTTGGTGAATTTTTTCATGTAATTATTGTGTCTCTCTTCACAGTAATGTGACCTAGGGTCCAATTGTGACCTGTAGTAAATAAACACATTTATTTGGCAACTACTACGCCCCACAGATTTGGAAAAAGTGTTTTGGTTCATTTTTGGTGAATTTTTACATGTATTTAATGTGTAACCTTGCTCCAGTAATGTAAAGTGACTCCCTCCAATACTGTGGTGACTATTTGTTGACGGTCCCTAACGAATATCAAGCGAACGTCAAACGTTGAGCCAACTTCAATACGCTCTCACAAACTCGGACCACCGCTCACAGGCTCGGACCACTGCTCGGGCCACCCAAGCACTCGGACCAGCTGCCCAAGTTACCAGACTTGTAGCTCCACCAAGTTGCCGTGAAGTTTGTGAACATAAATTATGGTATGTATGCCACATTCACGTAACAATAATGTCCAAGAGCCCTAATCCTCTTGCTACCAGACCATGGCAACACTGTCTGTCCTGTTAACTTTGTATAATGAGCCCTGTTCCGCTTCAGGGAAACAGACCCTGTGATCTTAAATGCGAAAACATCCAGCTTGAGCGCAAATGGCAGCGCCTCGCAAAGGCGGCAAACCTGCGCTCCCACCTGTGGTAAACCGATTCAACGCGTCCCATGGAGCCTATTGGCCACGGCGTGGGTTGTCGCAGTCATAGACCATATATATGGCACACACCTGTGAGCCTAGTGTTGGTCGTGGTGCTAAACTCGCTCCTGATTCCTCCCGCACGTGGTTCTTCACATTAAGGCCTGGAGACTCTTTTGGAGAATCACGCGAGCTGAGCGCAGGAAAGCGCTTTTGTCGCTCTTGGTGTGAGTGTGATGTTTATTACTGATTATTGATCCCCATTAGCGCAGGCAAGCTGACGCTATTCTTCCTGGGGTCCGAATATAGACAAAAATATTTACATTTCAGCTATACATAAGTTCATTATTGCAAAATGGATAAATATACTTCCAAACAGTAAACTCTTTCACCACCCTCACTGACAACATATAAAAGTTCATTAGTACAAAATTACAAGCGCAATCAGAGATAGCAACCTGGTCCTCCATGAGGCATCGGTTGGAGCAGTTGATCAACACAGGAGCAGCTTAGGAGGAGCCCAGCCCATATTACATGATCGTTATATCCACAATGCAATGAGTGTATCTGTACAGTGCCCATGAACATTTGTGTGATATTGGTCACACATGAGAATGTCTGTGTTTACTAGCTTGTAACGAAAATGTCATTTTCATAAGTTCCGTATATGTTAGTTCTGTGACTGTAGATCAATGTGTTGTGTATCACCAGAAAAAGAAGAAACGGAAATAATTTTCTTTCCAATTACAATTTTAACACATACACTGAAAGAGAAAGGAACTGTTATAATTAGTGATTATCTAAAAAAAAAAACAACTATTAATATTTTACTATACAAACGCATAGAATTATAAATAGATAATATTTTTTTCTGAGATTTTGAGACCACTCCCATTGTGCTAGCTCGATCCTTTGCAGAGTTATGACCAAAAACGCATATTTGACCTTGGTTACCTTGACCTTCTAGTGACCTTGACCGGTTTCAACTTGTAACATCCAATGCACCCCTGTTATGTGTGTGCCAACTTGTGTGATGTTTGGGTGAATATTTTAGCCCGTAGATGGTTCAGTAATGGCTGAAATTGCCTATCCTTTATAATGGCGTGACCTTTCAATTAACCCGTGTGACCTCAAATGACCTCGGTTTGTCACCAAACTTTTTTGCGGCATTGGGCACAGGGGCTTGACCCACGTATTAAATGTGGTGACAATTGCTCCATAAATGGCAGAATTATTGCAGGTGGACAGACACACACATCTTGAAGTAGATTCCCTGGATACATCGCTCTGTATGTGAAAGTTCTTTTAATGCTTCTTTGATTTGACTTTTGCTAGAAGGAATGTTCTTGCTGCAGTGTGTCTAGTGCTGTATTGTGTTTTATATTATGTTTTTCATAACTAAACATGAGGTTTTGATAAAGAATGTGTGGATGTTTTGCTGCCATGATATATTTACACAGGATAATAATGAGTAGGATAATCTATCTTGCACTGATAACCACTTTAGTTTCTCAAGCATGACTACAGCTAGTTCTAAAGTCACAAAACAACACCATGCGGGCTGCTCGGTTTTGTATGATGTGTAATTTTTGTAATACTTCTGTTGCAACATGTGACAATAATGCTGGGCAATGGTCTTAATAGGACAGCACCAGAGCTTGTGTAATTTGTTTTGTTGATTTTTATTTTAAACTTTGATTATGACTTTTTAGTAATGTGATTGCTTTTGCCATTTTTGTACATCTTCTCTGTGCGTTTTCTCCGGTCTAGTTTACAGTCAGCTCATATACTATTCATTTTTACTCCCTCAATTTCTAACTGCAATTCTGGATTGAGTTTAATACTATGATTAGATCCCACAACCATTGCAACAGTTTTTGGAGTATTTCATGTACTACTTGCATAATTTTTACTCCCTCAGTCTCTAAAAGCAATTCTGGATTAAGTTTAATACTATGGTTAGATCCCACAAACACTGCAAGTTTTTGAAGTATTTCGTAAATCAGCTGATATCCATATGTCAATTTTATCACTTCCTTTAGTTTGTCATTTAAGACTGTTTCTTTATCGTATGTGTTGACGAGTAGAGAGTAGCATTGTGCGCATACATAATCATTTTAGCTTTATTAAGAACAAATGAAACAATGGTCCCAGGCAGCTGCCTTGTGGAACACCATGTTACAGTTTTATTTTTTTACTTTTTTTGATTATTAGTCATTTCAGTTTGTCCCACTTAGTCCTGAATACCCACAAATTTGACTTCAAAACTGCTAATTGTGAAAAAAGTAAATTAACAACATATTTTAAAAAAACAAAACATTTTAATCTAATTAGATCACAATTAAAAATAGAACATAATAAAGAAACAAAAATATAAAAATGTATAATAAAAATATAAATATAGCCTAGAACATATTTGCACGCTGTTCTTCACAGTACCCCAGATGTTTTGCATAAAAAGTTCAGTTAAACTGAAGCAGGGCAATAAAATTCCTGTGGTTAGTCCCCCTGTTTGAAAAAGGTGAACAAAATGATGTCTGTGTTATTTAAGTCCCATTAAAACAACCTTAAATTAGATTGGTGGAAGGGGGATATTATGAGCAATTTGATCTTAGCTCATGAAGATCGAGATAGGTAAACGTAACAAACACCAGGACTAACTTTACTATATTGCCAGATCTAAGCTTTGGATTTCAGTGTTTTACATGTTTTGCATTAAGTTTCAGTTTCAAAGAGGGAAGATGGGGGAGCAATTTACATTTGGCCAAACACACATTAAAACTGAGGTGATTTGCAACTGGATTTTCATAAAGCAGGTTATTTTTCCAAAGCAAACACAGGAACCCTGTTTTAATGAAAGTGAATGTGTTTGACTGTTTTCTGAATGCAAATCCTTTATCATTTTTACTGATTCACTGATACTTTTCACAATGTTTACTGTAGAATCCGCATATCACGTAACAGTAGTCTCTTATTACTACAAGAGGTGAAATTTGATATGAAAGCTTCAGTTCACTGTCCACTGCCTCCTCAACACTTTCTGTTCTTGACAGTTTAACTGCAACTGTAAAGTTTTAGTAATTGACCATGAAATATTAGTAACATTACATAACGTTAACATAATACAATACACCCAACAAAAGATATAAATAATTTTAGTTAAAAGTGGAAAAAATACTGGATATAAATAATCTTATTTTTAGTTTAAATAGCTGCAAAAACAGTGCACATTATGGACCAACTGAGTTTATATATATATATATATATATATATATGTCCCTGACAAAAGTCTTGTCGCTTATCCATTTTGTAGAAACAAAAGCTTATAACCTGACTTTAAATTAATCGATTGGTTTAGAAATGTCTCATATGAAAGCTAAAACCCTCCCAAATTATGCTCAGTATACTAAAATAAATTTGCTTCACTGAAGAAAGATTGATCATTTAATGAACACAGAAAGGTCAGATTTTGGCAAGACAAAAGTTTTGTCGCCTACTGAAAATTTAACAAATAATTTACTTCAAATACAAAAATATGTTGCATAACATCAGTGAATTAAGTAGTGGTGCTGTGAGATCCATACTTAATATCTTGTATGACTTCCATGAGCTTGAAGGACTGCATCCATGCGGTTCCACAATGATTCATACAATTTGTTGATGAAGTCATCAGGAATAGCAAAGAAAGCATCTTACATGCCTCCCAGAGTTCATAAAGATTCTTTGGTTTTGCCTTTCATGCTTCCTCTTTCATTCTACCCCAGACATGCTCAATGATGTTCATGTCTGGTGACTGGGCTGGCCAGTCCTGGAGCACCTTGATCTTCTTCGCCTTGATAAACTTTGATGTAGAGATAGAAGTAGAAGTCCTGCTGCAAAATTTGACCCCTTTTATGGTTGGGAATGTAAGCGGTAGCTAATACTTGATACTTGATATTTTAGGATATTGATATTGCCTTCCACCCTGCAAATGTCTCGCACACCCCCATACTGGATGTAACCCCAGACCATGATTTTTCCGCCACCAAACTTAACTGTTTTCTGGGTGAATCTTGGATCCATGCGGGCTCCAGTAGGTCTCCTACAATATTTGCAGCGGCTGTGATGTAATTCAACCAAGGATTCATCTGAGAAATCCACCTTCTGCCACTTTTCCAGTGTCCATCCTTTTATCAGGCTGTGGGCCTTGGCAAATGCCACACGTTTTTTAATTGCCTTTTGTTTAGTGCTGGTTTCTGTGCACTGATTCGACCATGGAGGCCATTTCAAGACAGAATTCTACAAACTGTTCTGGATGACACAGGGACTTCAGGTGACCAGGCCTGGTGGAGCTCTGCTGCAGTGGAAAAGGGGCTGGCCTTGGATTTTCAAATCAACAAACGGTCCTCCCGAGCATTTGTCTTGTGGGGTCTGCCGGACCTTGGCTTGTCAAAAACATCTCCAGTCATTTCAGATCTTTTTCTTATTTTTTGTACTTGATGCTGAGACACATTGAAGGTGTCAGCCACCTCAGCAGTGGATCTGGTCTTCAGCTTCTTGATAATTAATGCTTTGGTCTCAGAGTGGATCTTAGGCATGTTGTCAGAGGTCAAGTGGCAGTTGATGTGAAGGTCTGGTGTGCTGGGCTTCTTTTTATACACACCCACTAACTGATTGATCAGTAACTGACCACAGGTGAGGCTGTAATCTAGGATTGGGTGCATCATATGACAAGGCGACAAGACTTTTGTCTTGCCAAAATCTGACCTTTCTGTGTTCATTAAATGATCAATCTTTCTTCAGTGAAGCAAATTTATTTTAGTATATTGAGCATAATTTGGGAGGGTTTTAGCTTTCATATGAGACATTTCTCAAACCAATCGATTAATTTAAAGTCAGGTTATAAGCTTTTGTTTCTACAAAATGGATAAGCGACAAGACTTTTGTCAGGGACTGTATATATATATATATATTTTTTTTTTATCTTACTGAAGAGTTGCTTTTAATCTCTTTGCCAGCTGTTTTGCCAACCAAAAACATAACACTTTGGATAGAAGCCTTGTCCAACAATGGAACTTGGAGTTTTCTGACAGTCTAGGTTTCACCCCAAGCTCCTGTATGAGTCCACTGAACTGATGTGGTAGGCAAAAACGTGGCATTCCTCTAAAGGCCTTTGGTATGTCCTTACTGCTATTCTGCCCATGCAAAGAGACAAATGCCACTTTCTGAGCTTTATTTTCCTGCAGCGCCCCCATCAGGCAGGTAAGTGCAGCTTTAAATACAGGTGCAATTACTGTGCAGGGCTCGAACACATCAGGCCTCTGAGTTGCATGTTTTTCTATTCTTTTAAATTTATATTTTGGAAAATCTTCCAGGTTGTGAGGTCTTTGAGAGATGTAATCCTTTTGGTGTAAACATTTAACACTTTCCTTTTCACTCCACCAGTTTTTGTAAGCTCTCTTAGCCTCCAGACTCCACATAATGAGTATGATTCCTTGTGCTTCGATAACAGTGTCCCATTGACCATACAGCCAAGGCAGAGGTCCAACGTCAGCCACACGTATCCCGCACTCTGAGGGTACGCTCTGGGCCCACAGAGCTAGATGTACAGTGGCACCAAGCTCCCCTTGTAAAATGGAGGCCAACGCACACACTGCTGATATATGGACAGAGTCTTCAGATGAACATACAAGAAGTATGGGTCTTGGGACGTGAAGCCAACCTAAAACAAAATGGAAATAAAACAATGTTAAGGGGCCCATATCACGCTATTTTCTGATCTTTGTTACAATGTTGTTTCCTCATCACAAACTTGGAGTTAAGTTTTATTTCCATCACACATTTAACACACAAATCCTGCATATTTAAGATGAGTTTTTCTCTCAAACAGAAACACCCTCTTCCACCTTGTAGAAAAGAGAAAGAAATCCATGATTCCATACACCGTCACTAGAATCATTTCTATATTTTCAGCCCTGGGATTTCCAATCTCTACTGAGCTAAAAGGAACTATTAACTTGAAAACTACCACAAAATGACATCACAAGATGAACAGAGTATTTTGAGCTTTGGAGATGTAGACAGACTAATTATAAAGGATTACTTAAACAGGTTTTTGATGAGGTAACAACATTAAAAGATGGGTAAAAGCTCACAAGAGTCAATTTTGCCTAATATAGGACCTTTACACAATGTGGGTATTTTCATGTAACATATCTTTTTTAAGATTTTGTCTGATCCTAACCACAGTAAACCCATTAAAGAATGTCAGACACAAAAAAGAACCAGTCAATGTCTTGCCAAGGGACACAAAAGCAGTATGTGTAAAGATTTGAATCAAGGACCCTTAAGTGAATGAACAAATGCTTAATCCACCCCATTTTAATGTAAACCTTATGTGTTATTAAAAAAAAAAGTTTGCTTCTTTATAAATGCCCCTGGGCATCAACATTTGTGGCATATTTTCAATAATCCGATTGGCCAGACGTAATATTTTAATATGGTTTGGCGAGAATCAATTTATAAGAGCTGTTAAATGTACTTGCCTGCAGTACCCTTTTTGGTCAAACTGTGGAAGCACACGCTCAGCACAATCACTATGAGCACACAGACTATTGCAGTCACCACATAAACACCATATCTGCTCCGTGAATCTGAAACAAGCATTGATACAGATAAGGTTGCAATACTGTGAGAATTAAAACATAACTGTAAAAACAACATCCAAAAAAAAAAAAAAAAAAATCCCTAAAACCTACAGTTAGGGCACATAATTCTTCTCCCATAAAGAGCTGGCTCTGACTGCCATACCTGAATAAGTGAATAAGACAAATATTATAATACTATTTTTTTTTTATAACTGCTTAAAATATTGTAAAATAAAGAGATTTTTTTAAGGTTAAAATTATGTATAGATTAAAACAAAAACAGCTAGTCAACTCTATGAATTAACATTACCTGAACACAGGGCCTCTCCTCAGCTGACAATACTGATAGATGAAAAGTTGCTATTCCTTGTTCCTGTTAAGAATATAATTTTTTTTTTTACATATATTTTAAAATAAATGTAGTATAATGTGAAATATTATGAAATCCTTACCGTATTTAGTGAATGATTGTGTCCTGTTGGTTCACATGTAGTCTGACTCAGTTTACACAGCTGAACAGAGAATTTTGCAGCGACAGTGGAGTTGATATAAACAAATAGACCCTGCTTCTTTAGCTCAAAATCAGCCATCCAAGAAGACATTTCTAGAAACACATTTGTAGACCAGTTTTAAATGGATGAACTCGATATTAAAATATAGACTAGTGAAATACAACATATAGTTTCAGTTACCAGATGTAAAACTGCATGAAATATTCTGGCTGCCCTGTAATGACCACTGCACATAAAATAATGCACCATTATCAGCCACTTATAGTTTTATTGCACACATATATACATACATACATACACACACACACACACACACACACACACACACACACACACATATATATATATATATATATATTTTAATTTATTTAATTTATTTTTTATAGTAAATTATCATTTCTCCTCACCTGCACACACATTTGAGGGTGCTTGTCAACTGCTGAAATATCATACTCCTGTGCAAAAAGAAAGTTCATGCAGTTAAAAAGATGAGTTATTCTAGACAAACATTATAAGTCCATCAACATCCTAAAACCTACTCGTTTTAGTTCATGTACTTGTTCCACAAGAGAGAGGTCAAACACAACAGTGCAGTGGCCGTCATGTTTCCAACAGAGGGCAGTAGATATTTCTGTCTTAGAGGAACGACACCGAGATATCATTGTTAAACTGTTTGCAGATTCCAGTTTAACCTTCATAGTGCTCCAAAAATCATTAACATCTGAAATCAGTGATGAGAGTTAGATCACTACAATATTTACATCTGATGAAAATGTTAAAAAGACTTTAAAGAAAGCAAACATTAACTCATAGATAAGCAGTAAAAGAAACCAAAAATAGGTCAGTGAATGTAATTAGCTTTACAATGTACACTATACTGCTAGTCTTGATCACAGAATGATGTAACTGACAAAACCAAATCCTTCCCGCTCCTCCTATTGCGTCTATCATGAGAGGTGCCACACAGTCCACAAGCAGTTAAGAAACCCACATAAAATAAATGACAATCAAATCAAAAATGTGACCTAAGAAAACCCTGATTAGATTTTGCCATATGGCCTGACACTGTGTTGCCCACAAAGAACAGTCTTCAGTCATATCAGCCTAGAAATGAGGAAAATGGAAAAACATGATCTCAGCTGGGGATGCACTAATCCAGGTTTTCTGTCCTGATACGGATTTCAATCTATTACTGTTAGAATCAGTTGATAAATGATATTAACCGAGATCCAGTTGTGTTAGAAAACTGTTGTTTACCCTTCACATGACTACAGAACCACTTTTTTTGAGGAAAGCTCAAACCTTATGAGACATTTTAGGCCACAGTCAATTTGTAAATTGTCTTTATTACATCCAACGAAAGACCCGACCGGAATATTGACTGAACCAAGACTGTGTAACTGATACACAATCCAGCATTTTTTCAATACTGGTAACGATATTCAAAACCAATATCAGTGAAATTAATGTTTTTAAACACATTACCCTGGTGGTCAATAGCTAAAAACTTGTCTAGCCTAGTGTTAAAAAACACATGACTTGAATTACCTGGCACAGCTGAATCTGTGGAAGGGCACTTGAGACTTCGCCGGCAGTCAGTGTTGGTGCTATAAACCTGTGTAAGTGAGCAAGACAAAGAACAGCAAAATCAGTGTATTTTTTGACAATATATAAAAAAATAAATTAAAAATAGAAATCACCGTACCTCAACACAAAGACAAGATAACCAGTAAGGAACAGTAATAACAGCTGATTGAGACACAGTTGAATCAATCTAAAAGAAACGAAGTTGGTAAAAACAGAACGACACTTTCAGGTGGCATAGTATGTGGTGGAAAATGCAATAATATAAAAGCAGTGCTTACAAATACTTTAGGAGCAGCGTCTTGGCAAGAAATTAGTCTTTTGTAACATGTTCTGACATAAACATGGTTTCCCGGCTCCACATAGATGGTAACAGATTTCGAAGATTCATTTAAAGTAAAGTTAAACTCTGGAAGATCTAAAAATGTGAATAATAATAATAATGATGTGAATCACCACTGATACAAGACACCAAAGTCATTTAACAGCATGTCCATAAGCTGTATGGTACATCCCCAGAGCCATAGTCATAAAAAATAAGAGTTTTGCACCCTTACTCTAGTTGCACAGTGTTGTAAAACAGGGGTTCCCAAACTTTTCAGATCGCGACTGACAGTGTTAGGCTGCCTGTGGATTATCCAGTGTGGAGTGCATAGGTGTAAAGATCCAAATGAGTCTGTAAAATTTGCCATAATCCTCCTCTGCCCAGGTCCAAACAAAAAGTGTGTGCTCCACAGTGCTGCCTTAGACGTAAAGTGCGTATATGGGGAAAATTAAACTTGAAAGTTTAGATTCTTGTGACCTTTAAGCCATGCTATGATGTTATTACCTCATCAAAAACATACCCAGGGTTATATTTTATTTCATTTACATGTTTGAGTAATTCTTTATCATTAGTCTATCTACATCTCCAAAGCTCAAAATGCTCTCTTCCACCTTGTGATGTCATGAAGTGTTAATTTTCAAGTTGCCATCTTATTTTTACCTTTAGTTCAGTAGAGATGGGCAATTTCAGGGCTGAAATAATTAAAATTATTTTAGTGAAGGTGTAAGGAGTTTAAAAACATAGTGAAACATTTCCAGTATTGCCACATGACATCACAAGGTGGAAAAGAGTGTTTTTTGTTTGAGAAAAGAACTCATCCAGGAGTGTGCGCGTGTGTGTGTGTTAAACATGTGTGAATGAAACAAAACACAACTCCAGGTATGTTTTTGATGACGAAATAACATGGATGATAAAATAGCGTTGGGCCCTTTAACGCGGCTCTGGTTCATTTGTTTGCCCAGTTGGAGTGAACACACCTCAGACAGTCTTGTCCGTGGATCTGCGCACTGGACGGATTCACGAGCGGGAAAATAATAATCATCCTACTTTTACTCACATGGTAGTTACTGCGGTATTTTTAAGATAAAACAAAAAAAATATTGTATTAGCATAATATATCTGAAAAAAAAAACATAGACTGTATAAAGAAGAATAAAATATAGTGTAATATAAAGAATATAATATAGGCTACATTATATAGAGTATAATATAAAGAACAAGTCTATGGATCCATTTGGAATGACAAACTTACCTTTTGGACAGTGAAGCTACAAAAGAAAAGAAAATTAATTTTATTAAAAATTAATTGTAGGCCTAAACGGCTCAAGTTAGGCTAAGTATTTTATTGATGCAATAAAGCAGACACCATGTGTTGTTCTTGGCGTCCTTCCTGGTTATAAATCTTTAGTCTATTGCATAATTGCCTGCTGGGCTTACCTGTGTTAACCGAGGGCTTTCCAGAAGTAGATAAACCACGACAATAAATGCCAACGTGGTGCCAAGACGCATTTTGTCGCCGTCAAGCAAAGGTAAAAGATAGTCAAAAAAGAAAATTAGCGATCGTCCTCCACTAAACCCATAGTTCGCCTCTGTGCGCTGTACAATGGAAAGATACACCTGTGCTGACGCAAATCTACGCCAAGTCTCTCCCACTAGTTTAGTTTAGATAAGTTTTAGTTTAGTTTAGTGAAGCAGATACTTGGTCTGACCCGAGAAACAGTAACAGTCTCGCATGGTAAGAAACGATCTAAATGGGAGAGCCATGGCAGAAGAGAGTAAGTTGTAGAAAAAACAAAAAACCAACAAAAAAAGAAAACTCCGCTCCCAGCTCCGCCTCCCAGATTTAGAGAGAGAGAGAGAGAGAGAGAGAGAGAGAGAGAGAGAGAGAGAGAGAGAGAGAGAGAGAGAGAGAGAGAGAGAGGTAGGTAGATAGATAAATATATAGATAGAATAAAAGAAAGAAAAAGAGAGAGAGAGAGAGGGGTAGACGGTAGACAGATAGATAGAAAGAAAGAGAGAGAAGGAAAGAGAAAGAGGGTGAGAGAGAGAATGAATGAAACGTTATGGCTTTTGAGGATACGTGGAATTTAACGTAACGTTGTTTTATTTCACGCTGGCGTTTTAGCTCGTGGCCTGTCCTGTCCTGTCTAGTCATTTTCAAACAATCAATCTCTTATTGTTTAGAACGAATGATACATGTGAGAATTTCCATTCTTGCAGATAACCTGAACTAAGTTATAACTTATTTAGGCCTGCAAAAGATGCAACCAAAAAAATTGAAATGTTATATATCTAAATTCCCCTGTTGGATGATTAGACTATATAAAGTGCAGTAGCTAATCAAAAGCATGTGGGTTAAGACGTAGAATATTTTTTTCCATTTACCCTGGTGGGTAGTTGTGGTGACAGACCCGGTTTTTTTATGATCATACTAAAGCTTTCATTATACAGATTCAACACCTGGACCACAAAATGCCCACAGTATTGTGTGAGTGGTTCTCATGATGAGACTTATTTTGGTGGTACTTGTGTTAGGTGTTATAGTTATACATTTTGTTTTTGAGATTTGAGCTAGTTGTGTTAGTTCATAATGTAATTAAGTCTTTATTTATATAGCGCTTTTCACAGACATTTTTCTGTCCCCAAAGATGCTTTACAGAGCGCAATTCAGCATTATTCATTCAGCATTATTCATTCACTCTATACCCTGGTGATGGTAAGCTACTATTGTAGCCACAGCTGCCCTGGGGCATACTGACAGAAGCGCGGCTGCCATGCCAATCAGCGCCATCGGTCCCTCCGACCACCACCATCACTCACGCACACACACACACTTTCATACTAGGCAATGTGGGTGAGGTGTCTTGCCTAAGGACACATAATGATTGAATTGATTGTATTTAACTGACCTTGACTATCAACTGTTCTGGAGACCTATGTAGCATGTTTTTGGGTTGATGGGGGAAACCAGAGCACCCGGGGGAAACCAGAGCACCCGGAGGAAACCCATCCAGACATGGGGAGAAACATGCAAACTCCACAGAGAAAGGCCCGGGCGACCCGGGGATCGAACCCAGAACCTTCTTGCTGTGAGGCATGAGTGCTAGCCACTCAGCCCGTGCCATCTTCAATTAAAATAATCTATTGAGAAAAAATTTACTCGATGAGTTTGAAGGGTACAGATAGGAACCACAGTAACACCACACAACTCTGTTTAAAAACTTTTTTATTAAATGTCTATTTTTTTTATTAAGTTTTTATATAAAAATTTCTACAGCCAACAGTGAGACCAGCGTTTCAGTAAGTTCTCATTAACAACCATTGATAAATACATCAGTAAAAAGAATAGACATGATAAACACAAATGAACTACACATCTAAGTTTGTGCAGTTGGAGTGATTTAAGTCTGTGGAAGCCTGTGGACCATGGTACAAAATGTAAGTTAATAAATAATGGTTTGAATAGTATTGGCTACAGTTGTCTTTGTTTGTGCTCAACATGACTGGACAGTGAAGATTAAAATTTTGAAGTGCTGAATGCTCATAAATAACAATTCCTTGTTATATTAATGTTCATATAAAGTATTTCACTGCTCAAATGTGTAACCAGCAGAAGTTTTATAGGTTTTAGTATAGACAAATATATATTTAATTTCAATTTTGCTGGTCAGAACAGATTTAACCTGCTTTGTATTTTATTTTCAATTACCTTTTTTGTTTATCCTGATCGTGCAAAGTTTAGTCTAGTTTTATGCTGGTTTCTATTTATTTACTCTTTCCAACATATAGTTTTATTCTGGTTTATATCTGAATTTGCACCAATTTTGACCTTAGTTTGAGAATCATTGGTACACTCCACCCCTGTATTTGTTTCATATTACCATCTAAACAGAACATTAATGAAATCATGATTTTCAACAGACTTGTTTTATCATTAACACCTTATTTTTCTCTTAATTACAATATTTTACATGCCTGATTTAAAATAGTTTAGTGTGCATCATAAAATGAGTTTTGGGGCCATTATAGTGAACAGAACTTCCCATAATCCTTTTGGTCTAGTGATGTCAGGCTGGATCTTCCTATTGACACACTAAATTAACCCACTATATAATAATGATAACCGGATTCCTCTGTGTGTTCAGTCACTATCACTGGTCTCACTGCTAGGGTCGCCCTGCACCTTGCTGCGATGTTGCATAGCTCGATGGTACGCCACTTGCACAGACTTGCGGATATTGGATTTTCGGCCCTCCAGCATCTTCTCTTTGTCCAGGTCTTGATCCACTCCAAGTGGTACAAGTTTGGAGCGAGGGAGCCACTGCCTGTTGAATATCAAAGAAAAAAACATCTTTGATACAGTCATTTTTTTCATAGTAAGGTAAGTACAACATTACATTATTTTATTTCATTTGATATGATTCGATACGACATATATTTCAAATCAATTCCATACAGTTCAATAAAAAATAAACGCTAAATCATGGATGTGATACTAAAAGTTCATATGAAACACAAACATTTTAATCATCAAAACAGTGAAAATGTCAAATGTGTTGCATAAATGAGTTTCCTTCCTCTGATCAAGCAACAAAACTGTAGATCCATAACAAAAAAATATACCAAGAAATAAACTTGGCGATATATTGATACAACAGCCCCCGATAGCGATACTGAACCATCACATTAAACAATATGATATATTGATAATTTGATATTTTTGCACAGCCCTAATACTTGTACTTGTGTTTTCCTTCATCTACACATCTTTAACTCATGAATCCTACATATTTATGCCGAGTTCATCTCTCAAACAGAATCACCTTTTGAGGTCATGTGGCAATACAGGAAGTGCTCCACTGTCTTCTTAAACTCCACACATTTTCATGAGAATAATATGGATTATTTCAGACCTGGAATTGTCAACCTCTACATAACTAAAAAAAAAGGTAAAAGGTAGCCGTTAACTTGAAAACTATCACTTCATGACATGACAAGATGGTGATGTAGACAGACACAATGAACAGGGTTACTCATACCAGGAATTGTGTTTTGTTTCATTCACACATGTATGTTTTTGAGGAGGTAGCAACATTATAATATGTTTTATAATATAGGACCTTTAAATCTAGATTAACAGTGGATTATTACTAGAGACGCATAAACCCACTAAAATGATTTGCAAACCTTTAGTAAAACAAGTCATAAACACACAACAACTTTTGAACTGAAGAAACACAACACTACGACTGAAGAAACGTGTACACAACACGACGGAAGTCTTAAAGAGATCAAACACTGTCCTCATAGACATGATTTCACAACCGTTTTGAACAACCTACATGTATTATTTGAGTAAGAATGAGGTCACTGTTGTCATCATATTTCAGGGGTAGAGCAGCACATACACTATAAGACTGCATACTAAATGTTTTCCTTGTCACCTCTCAGTAAAACCACATTTGCCCTAGATTTTTTTTCCGCTAAATGACAGGGCCTGAATCCTGTTCAGCTTCCTGTCAACAGCCACAGAGAAAGAGTGCTTAAACAACCATTTGTTAAACACAGAGAAACAAAATGCTGAGTACTAACCAACAAAACTAAATTATGTTTTCCTATTTCCTATGACAAGAACAGATGAACAATGAACTGAGCAAATGTGATTTTAGCCTGCGCTACCAGTCAACATATGGACAGGCCCTCTCATTCAATGCTTTTTTCCCTTTATTTTACTTTCTAAATTTTCTATACATACCGAAGACATTAAATATATCAAGTAATATTTCTACTTTATATTCAAATGCTCAGTGTAGACACCCTTTGCTTTCTCAAAAATATTTAGTACTTATTTAACTACTGTTACTAAATAAATAGAAAAGCACACATTGCATGAGAAGATGTGTGCAAATATTTGACTGGTGCTGTTTAAACATCCTCAAATCACACCCTCTAATTCAATATTTTTTTTTATTACTTTCTACATTTTAGATACATATGGAAGATATCAAATATATGAAGCAGAATATATGGAATTATGTCAAGAAAAGAAGTTAAATATCTCTGTCTCTCTCTCTCATATATACACACACACATATATATACACACACATATACACATATATATATATATATATATATATATTAGTGCTGTCATGCGATTAAAAAAAAATTAGAGATTAATTAATTATAATCTGTAATTAATTAATCTAATTAATCTCTTTTTACCTAAAAATTGCTGAGAAAAGCCTTCAATTTGAGGTATTTTCATCTAAATTCATTATTACATTATTGTGGCAGATCAAAAGACTGATATAGAACAAAAACAAAGTGACTTTATAAAGTCATTTATTGTTTAACAAACTTTAACAGATGCAGTCACTTACATTCCACAGTATCATCATTATTATTACTATTACTAATCTGCAGTGTTGGGAAGGTTACTTTTAAAATGTATTCCCTTACAGATTACAGATCCCAAAATGTAGTTTGTAACATAATCCATTAAATTACTTAAAGTGAGTAATGTAATCTGAATACTTTGGATTACTTGATATTGTCATGCGTTTTAAAACTACATAGAAGTAGCAACCGCATCCTGAAAATTCTTGTTTGTTCTCTTCAAATTGGCTGTTGAGGCAAAGTCTCCATGAATAAACAACTGTTTGTTGTAAAGTAGCAAAAACAAGGAAATCTGAACATAAAATGTTTTGTCTGCTTAAAGACAATAAAAAGCCCAGTCTTTTCTTAACCATATTAAAAATATTATTGATAGAGAAATGCTTTATATATGAGATCACTGGTTTTAG